CTATTAGCATTTGAAATATATTTTAGAAAAGGTAATATATAGTTTGAGTTCAATTTTTAATCCTTTTATATTTGTGACCATATTCAGTGTGACAAAATCTTTGTCAGATCTATTTTTGTTTCTTAGATTTTTACTTCCACCTTCCCCAAAGGTCCTTAATCCTCTTTTCCTTTGCTACTTGAAACTTTGCTAGATAATGAATTAGAATATTACTGTCAAATCTAGTTTAAGAATAGTTTGAATAATAGTACACATTGTTTACCCAAAGCAATTTTTCATGAATTTTCAAGCTTTTCTTTAGAAAGGAAAAGTTGTCTTTGATAACCAAAGTCATCTTTGAATTTTGCTTATGAATGTTTTTAAAAAGGTAACATTTTGTTATTGAATTTAAGAGAGGCTATAGTAAAGTGAAGGAACTATCACATAATTAATTGTGCTATTATTTTTATATTTTTTTCTGACACAGGAAAGTTTTTGTTAATGCTGCAGTCTGTCAAACGAGCTTTTGCCCTCAACAGTAATAACCCATGGTTACATGAATGTTTAATTAGATTTTCTAAATCTGGTAAGTATAAAAAAGGTAATGTTTATGGAGAAGCAAATATGAGCTATCTTCCCTTAAGCTGGACATTGAAGAGATTTGCAACAATGTAAAGCAAAAAGAAAAATAATGTTTATAGTATTTAAATGAAGTGTCTATAAAATGTTAGCCAAGAGATGCAGAAATTAGTGCATTTTTAGACTAGAATGTATTTATATTTCAAAGGAGCAATAATATTTTTACTATGTTAAATATATCAAGCTTAATAATAAAGGGCTTTCAGTAGATTTTTTTTCAAAGGATAGATCAAAATCAAAACCAAAAAATTCAAATGTTTTTGTTTTTATAGTGTCTAAGCATAGTAATCTTCCAGACATTGTAAGCAAAGTTCTGTCTCAAGAAATGCAGAAAATCTTTGTCAACAAGGATTTGGAAAGTTTTAATGAGGATTTTCTCAAACGTAATGCTACCTCTCTGCAGCATCTACTTTCAGGTTTGTATTTAGTTCCCAGGGTTAAATTGTTTATGGAAGAAAACAAACAAATCAGAGAAAGAGCTTTAAGTGCAAAGCTATTTACTGAAATGTTGTGTGTAAGTATGGAGAAAGAATGGGAACAAATTTAATGTATGTCCAATAATAGGGGAAACAGTGGTAGGTTCATCCGATGTAGTACTAGGTAGTCATTTAAAGTGATGTTTTTTCAAAGGATTTGTAATAACGGGCAAATATTGTTACAATAGCTTTACAGAATTGAACATATTATATGATCACAGCTATGCATGGGAAAAAGGCTAAAAGGAAATGTATACCAAAGCTTTAATGTTGCCTGTGGGTGTTGTGGTTATGAATGATTTATTTTTTCTTGTAATTTCCAGGAGAAATATAAACTGGGTTTTAATTTTAAACAGTTTTTTTAATTACTTATTTTCTTTGTGAATATATTAATACAAACATTTTCCTGTTGTCCACCCACTGTGCTCCTATGTGACAGTAATTTTTTCCTTAGATGTTTTATTTTAGAGTATCATCTTTTTTCACAGTTTTGGCTGAAATACACATTGATGCCACAGGGCAGCCCATAGTCACATTTTGGATTATATCATCTCTAAGGGGAGGAAGTTGTTAAATCAGTGTTCTTATTATAAATATTTAATAACCATCTCTTAGTGAAGGAAAAAAGCTCTGATTTGTAGTGTTTTTTCATGATACAAATACTGTCATTGTGGCCCCAGGTTATCAATGGCATGTTACTGAATAGGCAGTTGGGAAGAGATGTCACAGTTGGCTCTCAAGAGCTGTTGGTCTCCAGCCCACTGCTAATTAAACATTTGAAATCACATTTTTATTTTAAGTCACTGGTAAGTATATATCAGGTAAAATATAAGGCATAGGAGTTTATTCATTTTAAAATGCCTTGGTATTTTAGGTGCTAAAATGATGTATTTTCTGGACAAGTCAAGGCAAGAGAAAGCAATTGCTATAGCCACTAGACTGGATGAAACTGTAAAAGATAAAAATGTAAAGGTAAGATTTATCACAGGCTGATTTATGGATACTGAGTGATCTAACAAAATGTTTGTCTTTACAGCATAATTCTTAAGTGGGCCTTCAGAGTTATGCCTGGATATAAGTCTCAGCACCAGCAATTATGAGCAGCATAACTTCAAGAAAGTTACGTCTCTTAGCTTCCTTTTCCTCATTTTTAAGATGAGGATGAAAATATGACCTATCCTACAGAGTCAGCGTAAGAGTAAACTGAAACAAAGTGTGAAGGCTTATTGCCTGGCACATAGTAAGCACTCAGTAAATGTGTGCTATTGTATTAATAAAGGACACTTTCATTTTTAGTGATCATAGTTTTAGAGGTTCCCTTCCTCGGATATTAGAACTTTACTGCTTTTACAAAGGATTTGCAGAGTTGATTTCTTTTTTTTTTATGGCTCCAGCTGAAGTCTAATGCAGAGTTGATTCTTTATATTCCTTTTTGAGGTGATTATTTAGTGTAGATAACAAGAAGTTATTTTAGACTGAGGCAACTGTCTCTTGGTCTAATCAAAAAATTACATCTTTTTTTTTTTGAGACGAGTCTGGCTCTGTTGCCCGGGCTAGAGTGCCGTGGCATCAGCCTAGCTCACAGCAACCTCAAACTCCTGGGCTCAAGCGATCCTCCTGCCTCAGCCTCCCGAGTAGCTGGGACTACAGGCATGTGCCACCATGCCCGGCTAATTTTTTCTAAATGTATACATTTTTAGTTGTCCAGATCATTTCTTTCTATTTTTTAATAGAGATGGGGTCTCGCTCTTGCTCAGGCTGGTCTCAAACTCCTGACCTTGAGTGATCCACCCGCCTCGGCCTCCCAGGGTGCTAGGCATGAGCCACCACGCCCGGCCAAAATTACATCTTTTGATTGAAGTGATTATTAACTGAACTTATCATATCTTAACAGTTTGTATTTTCCCCTTGTCTTACTAGACTTTAATAAAGGTTTCTGAGGCCCTGCTCGATGGCAGCTTTGGGAATTGTAGTTCTCAATATGAAGAATATAGGATGGCCTGTCATAACCTGCTTCCTTTCACATCTGCTTTCCTGCCTTCTGTGAATGAAGTCGGCAGTCCCAGCACAGCACTGAACCATACAGCTAACTATGATGTCTTGGCAAATGAAATTTGAAATCTCATAGAACCTTGACTCCTACAGATTCATAGCTGAATTCAGATCAGGGTTTCTTTTCCAGGATGCATTTTAATATAAGTGTGAAATGAAATATTTGGTTAGAGGTTATAAATAGTATCTTCTGTAAGCTTCTTTTATTCTTTATCTGACTCTGCCAATTTAGATAAACATTTGTTAAAATTGCCTGTTTATACTTGTACAGTTTTTCTTAAACTCCCAAATTATCAGCATTGTGGTTGCTGCTGTTGTGTCTATGTCATAATTATGATTATTTCTTATTAAGCTAACTTGTATACAGCCCTACAATATTATTTTCTTTAGATCCTGGTTTCAGAATGTTTTGATCCCTTGTCTTACTGGTTTTGTTATTGTTTATTTGCTTGCTCTTTAATTAAAGCATATCAGTTTTAAAGTGTCAACTATGTTAAAAACAATATGGAATTCCTCTTGGCAGATACTGAGGTTTATTTTAGAATTTAATTTTGCCACTTTTCACCTTAATTTCTCATGATTTACCATTTCCTTTGTAATACCCATCAAAGTGATATTTTCTGGTTGAATAAGCGTACTCTAGTTTTATGTAGATGATTCAGAATGTGAAGATTGGTTTGCCTGTCAATCGTGGAAATTCACTGGTAAATTTGTTGCATCTCTCTCTATACCAGTCTTAAAGACCCACAGGCAAGAATTACGCTTTTTTCACTAAGTTGCTTTGAGTGTTAACAAGTCATTTATATTGAGGTCCTTCAAGGGAGCATAATAAGGCAGAATACAAATTAAAACCGAACATTGTTACTCTTATAACCATGTGTTAACTACTAAATGCATTTTTATATCTCAGCAAAATGAGAATTTAAACTCTCATTAGTTTAACTATTAAGACATAGTATTGTTGAACAATATATTTTGGGGGGATAGCTTTTTATCTTGTACAGAAAACAGTAATGGAATCATTCGGTATGTTCAGAACCCTGTAAATATGTCTGTAATATTAATGCTTCCCTTAAAGGCAAATATAAATTCAAAAAGGGAGATTTTATTTAGACAAACAGTTCTAATTAAGATGGTTTTCCTTTACCCTAATCTATTTAGATTCACAATTGTTGAAAGAGAAAAAAACTCACTGTAAAATAATGCCAGCCTAGATAATGCTGTAATAAATTATTTTGTACACAGTTGCTTATTTGTGGTTTATTATTGCTTCGCACTATTAGTATTTTTTGCAAAGTATTTTTTGAGGAAGTAGAAACTTAATCACCATAATCTTTTCAAGTTTTATGAAGAATATAATTCTCAACAACCACCCACCAACTATATTTTGATGCCTCGATAACTTGTCTTCTTTTTGGTGTTTTAATAATTTTAGAACTACAGACAGTTCCAGACTTAGGATGGTTCGACTTAAGATTTTTCGACTTTACAATGGTATGAAAGTGATATGCATTAAGTAGAAACCGTACTTTGAATTTTGATCTTTTCCTGAGCTAGTGATATGTGGTATGATTCGCTTACATGAGATATTCAGTAGTTTATTATAAAATAGGCTTCGTGTTAAATGGTTTTGCCCAATCGTAGGATAACGTAAGTGTCCTGAGCACATTTAAGGTAGGCCAGGGGCCGGACGAGGTGTCTCATGCCTATAATTCTAGCACTCTGGGAGGCCGAGGTGGGAGTATCACTTGAGGCCAAGAGTTTGAGAACAGCCTGAGCAAGAGCAAGACCCCAAGACCCTGTGTCTACAAAAGTAGAAAAATTAGCTGGGCATGGTGGCATGCACCTGTAGTCCCAGCCACTCAGGAGGCTGAAGCAGAAGGACGGCTTGAGCCCAGGAGTTTGAGCTTGCAATGAGCCACAATGATGCCACTGCATTCTAGCCTGTGCAACAGAGAGAGACTCTCTTAAAGCAAAAAAAGGAAGGCCAGGCTAAGCTATGATGTTTGGTAGGCTAGGTGTATTAAATGAATTTTCTGGTAAGACAGCCTTGCTAATAAACTATCTAACAGGAAAAAAAGGAGAAAGCTCACAGTACGTAACTGCCCCTTTGAAGAGAAAGATCACAGCACAACTGCCGCTTTGTTAGGTTAACCATCTGTGGCTTAAGTTGTTTTATTGAGAATTTGTTTTCTAGCACTTAAAAAGAACTGAGCAGATAGAAGCAGCAGTGTGATTCTTCCCCAGCTCTCACCAGACCACATTCCAAGGACTCTGATAAGCCAGCCTCACAGAGAAGAGGAAAAAAAGGGAAAAACAGGCACAGCCATTTTACAGCCATTTCCTGCTATTAGTCTGCAACAATGAACTCCCAATAAACTTAATTTTTTTCTTTTCCCCCTGTTTTAGCCCCATAAAAAGCCCAAGACACTTGTCCTCTGGGCTGGCACTTTTTTCTTAACTTTGTGCGAAGCCCTTCCCCTCCCCCCACCCCACTCCCGATTTGGGAAGTAAAATAAACTTTATTTATTCAAAACTATTCTAATCTTTGTGTTGAGAATTCTTTCTCAGTCCACACTGAGTTCTTACCCTTGCATCTGATGCCCCATATGGGGACTTCCACTCTTTTACCTCTGTCACTGGGAATTCACTTTTCTGCCTCTGTCGCAAGACTGCTCCCTCCTTTGTTGCACAGCTCCCAGGACATCCTTCTTGGTGCCCTCAATATCATTTGGAATTCAGTGAGTCTCTTAGGCTCTGGAGATGGCCATACGGTTCGAAGTGGAGAGTGGTAGCTTTTACCTAGGTTTGGTCTAGATGGAAAACCTGATGCTGGTCTCCCACTCAGGGAGTGGGAGGTGTCTTGGAGGGATGTCTCCTAACCACCCTTCCCCACATACTTCTCCCAGACCCAGGGACACCTGGCTTTGGGGGAAGCTCTCTAGGTTTCGGTCTGGATCAGAACTTGGGGACGCCCATTTTCTGGCCAGATCTCTTATCTTTAGGTTTTGGTCTGACTCAGAGTCAGGGACGACTGATGTCTGATCAGAACTCTGAAGGCAGTCTGAGTCAGGGATGGCCCCTCAGACCTTTTTCTATTGACCTATGACTATCCCTAAAAATCCTTTTCTTTTTCCTAGTTGCCATCATGGGCAATATTCAGTCAGCCCCACCTAAAGACTCCCCATTGGGATGTCTCCTTAAGAATTTAGAAACTTTGGGACTTATCAACCTCCATACCAAACACTTCGTCTTCTATTGCAATACAGCCTGGCCACAATATAAACTAGATGACCAGGAGATTTGGCCCGAGAATAGATCTCTTAAACGTAACACCCTTCTGCCACTCCACCTTTTATTGCCACTGGCTCAGCAAGTAGTTTAAAGTCCCTGTGTGCAGACTTTCTTTGAACTTGCTAGATGTCCTGATCTTCACTCTGCCTGCCTCGTGTTACTTCTCACCTCTACATCTCTCCCACTATCTTCACTTCCCAGATGATGTTTCTCTTTTGGCTCCCCATGTTCCCCCTCCTTCTTCTCTGTCTCCACCACTCTTGCATGGCCATGCTTGCCTTCGAGAACTGACGGGCCCCCGAACCAGCCTTCTCCATACCCACATACCCTCTGGGACTGACGGACCCAGCTTCCCAACATTGATATGGCCAAGCCTTAGGTAACT